AAGTGCGGACACTGAGCAGAGGCACATTGGTCAGCATCCTTTTTACAGGAGCTCGGGGCTTCCATCTTCCACAGCGCTGCAGCCCCAGTTCATCAGGTTTGCAGCCAGGGTCGGGTACTATGTAGGGCTGGGTAAGATCCTGACCGAGCCACATCGTCAACTTTTTACAGAGTATTACATACACGACAAAACAAAAGACCAGGAATTGCCTCTTCCTTTCACATTTAGGACTAACTCCAACAAGACAAACCCAACATCCTCCTAGAAGGTGTGGCGTTCTCATACTTTCGTAGTGAGGTCTTCTTCAGAAGGCTGGAATAAAGGAGACAGGCGTCTGGTCCAGTTTTCAGTCCTTCATCTCTTCCTCTCTGTTAATGACTGAACTTGGATGTCATGTAAACATTCAAGGGCTCTACCGTAGAACCTCTGGAGTTGTCTAGGAGTAAGCAGTTAAGGGGGAGTCTTGCTCTCTTTTTCTGGATAGGTGGTTTCAGTCTGGTTGCACCTCCCATGGTGTGCAGCTCTCTGGCTCCAAATCCACATTAGCATTTTCTTTCGATTGTCCTTGGTCTCTCGCCTGTGCCCCGCTCAGTCTTCTTCTCAGCCCAGGCATCTGTAGCCTTTATGGCCTCTGGTGAGGAAAGGGGAGAGTTCAGACAATAAGAACAACTTAGATGATTTATAGTAATTTATAATTTATAGAGCACTTTCTTTGTTTTCACAATAACCCTCTAAGCCCAATCTAAGCCCCACTTTGCAGAGACAAAGTAATGACTTGGTCCACGCGGCTAATGGGACTCAGCCTGAGTGTAAATCACAGCTTAATACTCTCCTCTGAGCCACCACTCAGACTTCATGTGATCCTTGCCCAGTCATCATTTACTATGCCAACTAGGAGTCAGAAAGATTGAAAGACATTGAGAGACAAGTAGGTTATGAGAGTTTGAGAAAAATAGAAAGCTCTGGGGGGGCCTAACAAGAAGCCCAAGATGGGATCCAATTGGGAGAAGAGACAATGACATAGAAATGGGAGGGAAGTATAAAGTACACAAAATTCAATATAAAGATATGTATGTATAAAGATCCAGTAGGCATTATTAACATTCTAGCAGATGGTAAGACAAATTACAAGACGCAGAAGATTATTGTTCCGAAAGCTAGCATAAGTGGTATGGATAACATGGCACACATAATAGGAGATTTATGTGTTTTAAATGAGCACAAGTATGTCCTCTATACATTGAATTTTAAGTTCAATGATATAGGAGTAGATATTTGCATTGTTTAATTGTTTTTAAATAAACTATACCTAGTAAATACTTACCATAATGCACTAAATATTCTACTTATCCAATTTTTACTATAAAAAGGATATATATGATATGTTGTTGTATAGCACACTAACTGAAATATCAGAAAACATAGTACCCAATAGTTACAAGTTTGTTCCCCATGGTAGAATGTTACATTTTCTCACTGTCACACAATCTGCTGAAGCACTTTGTTAATCCACACAGACATAATCTTGAGTGGGAGTGGCATTTTTCTCTTGAGTCCCATTCATGTTTTCCTGTAAAATGGGTGACTCTGTTTCCAAACCAAAAGTAGACGTTGGGGTCTGGTCAGGAACCAGGAATCTTAAAGCAAGGATGTTTCTCAGTGGTTGGATGGATATAAGTCCTGATCGAACTGATGTAATTCGGTGAAATACAATCTTACTTCATTTTATGCTGGCGAAGCATGGGGGCAAAATCAGGCTGTCCCTTCATCTCTTATGTGTCTTGTGCCTGCTGACAGGTTTTAGTTTGGGGTTTTTCAGTTGAAAGTTTACTTATATAGCATAACATTTATCCAGTTGAAAGTATAATATTAATTACTTTCATTTACCACTTTGTAATCTAACACCACTGTCTAATTCTGGAAGACCTTTGCCCCAAACTTCCATTAGCAGCATCTTAATTTTCCTAGCTTCTAAAAAGCACAAGTTATTTTTTTTTTACCGAGAGCCTGTCTATTGCTCACATTTCATAGACTATTGCTCGCATTTTATAGACTACTATTCACACTTCATAGACTATTG